TGAAGGAATCATTTGCAGATAGAAACAGTTGATTCCTCGAAGTAACTTTCGAAAAAGCTTAATGAAGCTCTGAGCACAGCTAGGTAAAAATAAATCTGTCCTGGGCAAGGACTACAAGAAAACTCAAAGGCCATCAGTGTGTAAGAGTGTGCAAACAAGGTGGTTGCTTTCTTTCTTAGAGTTGCACTTATGGCATTTGCAGACAGTAATAAACTTTGTTTCATGAGATTATTTTTAGTTGAAATGAAATTTATATAACATAAAAAAGAAAAATAAAGCCTGTATGTGATAACTGCCATATCTAGATCAGTGGGACTGTTTTTCTTTTTTTCAATGTTTATATATAGAATGATAAGAAAAGTCTATAAACCTTACTCTCAGAATTAGAGTTTTTAATTAACCTGAATTAACTTTAATACAAAAAAGTAACCAAAAAGCTCCATAATATGCTAAATATACCTTAGAGAAATTGGAATAGGGTGTCCAACAAAGCATGGTTATGATCAATTATGGAGAAAATATACATTTTAGTTTATATTTTCTAATTAATAAACCAATTACCCACCTCTAGAGTTGGCTGTCCTCAATTTTGTCTTAAATATCTGGAACCTGAACGTGAAAAATTTATTGATCTCATAGCTTTCCTTTTTTTAAAGTTTTTATTTTTTCTTCCTCTTCCTATTCTCTGTATAGTCTTTACGTTGCTCTGAACCTCTATTCTTTCTATATACTTACCCCCACTGGGAGTTTATCTACTTATATTCTGGTGAACTACTTAAAGCAAAGTACTTAGAATCACAGCACAGAAAGAAGCCTTGCAAAAATAATCCAGTGTCATCTCTATCTGCCTTCAATTTATAAAAAGTGTAATTTGCTGTGGCGGTACATGGTTTTCTCACCATTGTTACATGTCGCTATGAAAGAGATCTTTGATCTTCGTGTATATTCATGAATTAAACATAGTCTGTACCCCCTTTTTAGACATCATTTAATGAGCCAGTAATGACAATTCCCTTTTAGTTTCACTTTTCTAATTTTGAATTGAATTAAATGTGGTATTTTCTTTTTTGAACATCACTTAAGTCCTGCAACTGAGCAAACTTTGAACTGAGAAAATCATGGTGCTAAACAAGAGTACTTATTCAATTTTCACAAAGCCTGTATTTTCAGTAATTTTAGCCATAAGTATTGTTCATAGTATGAGTCAATCAACGTGGCAATGAGTTATTATTAAGAAGTAATTACAGCTTTCTTTTTTTCCCCCTTAACTATGTATTTTGAAGTATACAATCACTAGCAGCACTTTCAAAATTAATCTAAAATATTTTAGTTTAATTTTAGGTTTATTCTTCCTCGAGTTTTGGGGCTGGAGATTATAGGACCAGATCAAATATCAACAACCCAAAGTTATAAAATGGGATACAAAATAATTTTTAAAAGATTCATAGTTTGAAAATATATATTTAACAATTATAATTGAGTATCTTCTTTATCAGTAACAGTGTTCTACATTGGACTTGCTGATATGATTTTTCTTTTGTGCCATCTCAGGTATACTTGCTTTATGTAGCTTATGGAATACTTCAGTTTCCCCAGAGCCATGTAGCTCAGGCTCCAATGGCAGAGTTAATAGTTTTCTAACATACATAAGTTCATCTTATAATTGGCTAAGAAATATTATTAGGAAACCAGGATAGCTCACTCCTATCTAAAACTTTCTAAATTATAAACATAAAAAGTATGTAAGCATATCCTGTAAATAAAAATGTCCTCAGGAATCTTTTGTTTCTCAGTACATAGTGTTCAGCCCTGGTATTGTGCAATAAAAGCAGGCACTCAGTGTTTGTTGATTTATCAGTTTAACTGAAAAAAATTTAATTATATAGGAGGGCTGTGTTGCTTATGGTGGTTATAATTGCTTATAACTGGTAATAAATATAGTTACAAATGGAACTAATAAACCTATTATCTTGTTATTAATTGGCTTTCATGAAAACCATCTTGTAAATCTAGCTATAATTAGCTTAATTGTATTATATTTATTGGCTACAATTCATAGGTAGTCAGAAATAAATGGCAAATAGTTAAAGAAACTTATCTTAGAATTTACCACCCTGAGTTAAATGATAAAACCTTCTATAAGTCATATGACCTACTTTTATGTAAGATATCTAATGGTTGGCTAGTAGGCTGAATTATATTTTCATGTATCGTATAGGACTAGAAACGTATAGTTTTATGTACTGAAACTGTTCCTAACAGATCTCATTTATTTTTTCTACTTGAGAAATATGTATACCATGTAACAAAATTTTTGCTTAAGGGAAAACAAACTATGTAAATGGTACATGCTTTTCTAAGTGTAAACATTTTTTAATTGTGAGAGATAAAAACAAAAATTGTTTTAAAGTTATATAGGCACTGTTTCGCAAAATGTCTCAAGTTTTCCATTAAAGTTTGGAAGCTTGAAGGCTCTGCCAGGCTTGAAAATGCCAAGACAGAAAGACTAGAGCTGGACAGATACTCAGACAGGCAGATCTGGCTATGTGTTACAGGAGGCGGTGCATCCTGCCAGGTTGCTCATAGCATCTGAATTATAAAAGTGATAAATATTAAGTGTATTAGTCCGTTTCTGTTTCTCTTATGATAAAATACCTGGAACAGGGTAATTCATAAAAAAACAAAATTTATTGCTTATGGTGTCAGAGGCTGGGAAGTCCAAAGTCCAGGGAATGCTTATGGTGAGGGCCATCTTGGTGGCAACAGTGGCACAGGGTTCTCACATTTCAGAAAATGTCAGAGCAGAGAGAGCAAGAGACAAACCTCTTCATTCACTCTCCTTTTAAATCCATCAGAACCACGCCCCTGATCACCATTATTAATCCATTCACTACAGCATGGTACTAGAGTCTAATAACCTCTTCAAGTCCCCACCTTTCAATTACCATAATAAGATTTCTCACCTTCTTAACACAGTCACAGTGGGGGTCAAGTTTTGGGGGAAGACTCAATCCAAGGTAATAGACCAGAAAGGGAAATCAGATAATCTTTAGAAAGGAAAACTGAGCAAATATGATTAAAAACAAGTTGTGATAGCAGAGAAATTTTCAATCTGCAAGATGATTTTTCTGTTTCATTTCATTTGCTTTATCTCTATATAATTTTTTATGAGATATGTGACAAATTTTCTTTGAATGTTTTTCTTCTTGTCTACTTTGTGAACCCTTTATTCTACACCCATTCCTCAACAAGTATTTGCTAAATAAATAAATGTACCCTTTATATCTTATTTTGTGGTGGTGATGGGGAGAGTAAAAGAAACTATGTGAAAATGTTTTTTATAGCAAACAGAAAAACATATGAGTATAAATTATCATAATTATTGTACATCTCATTAAAGGTAGCCAAAATATCTGACAACTGTTGAAAGTCTCGTGGAGTATACCAGCATTTATAAGCACATGTACTTCACAGAGCCTAGCCTTTTGGTATTGCACATAGAAGTGTTAAGCTTGGGAAAGACAGAAAATATTTCTCAGGCTAAAGTCTCTGTTGTAGATAAAGAATTGTAACACAGCAAAACTGCTGGCTTTAAGGGCAGATGTCCTTGGTGCACCTAAACCTAATGATTGTTGCCATGACAAATATCTTACTGTTCTTTTTGTAGCCACCTACATTCCTTTTCTGTAACTTTCTTGCCTGGAGAATAAAAATGGAGAGAGAACCTGATTCAAGGCTATTCCCAGGATCTTTCTTCTCTTGAAAGAATTATTCCTGGGGGTAACCATTTTCAGGCTTCTCACTGCTCAGAAGAAACGGGCTTTGAGTAATCCTTTGAGTCTCCATCACCCTGAGGGAGAGGTGACAAGTCTAAATCACAACCAAATATGGTACTATTATGGATATTTGTTAATTATATTATTTGGTAAACATTTAAAAGGTGGACCCATGCTACACATTTTGATATAATATCAAAATATTGTATGTGCAATTTGAAACTAGCTGTTAAAGCACTAATGGCTACATACAAAACACAGTAGGTTAGGTCCATAGTGATCTCTTTACAATATACTCTGTAAGAATTAAGTAAAGAGATGCTTTACACTGGAGTCAACTATAAACAACCTAAAGGAATATTGTTAAAAAGGGAGGAAGGAAGAGGACATAAACAAGTTGTATTAGGCACCTTATACAAATCAGACCTGGAGGTACTTTCTAAACATACATTATGCCCTTTAATCCTCATAACTATACTGCGAGTTCCAGTGTGTGCTGGCTTATACAGGTTCATAATAACCACTTACTGTATATTGCCCCAACTCTTTTGGTATCATTAAATCAGCCATTGTGGGAGTATTTACAACATGGAATTCAACAGAAACTATAAATCAGGACTTTTTTCCCCACATGTCAGACAGCAAGATTGCTAAACATTTACCAGAGCACTACTGATACACAGTAAGTAAAATTACAGATTATTTAGGCTCTAAAATCTATTCCAATCCTAAAATTCTGTGACTACTTCACAACAATTTATATAGCAAAATTTTTATTTAATTAATTTGCTTATTTTTAGTGGGTCATTTAGATATTTTTAATATTTTCAGGTTGTACACTGAAATTTTTTAGTTGAAAACATTAATTTTTAGTTATATAATTGATTTTAAATCTGAAAAGGAATTTGTGTTTTTATAATAGGTCATGTTTCTGTATTTCATAATGTGGAATTTTTTTTTTTTTGGTCCATTTTGAGACCGGCCGCACCGCGCTCAGCCAGTGAGCGCTGTGAGCCCACCGGTCATCCCTATATAGGATCCGAACCCGCAGCAGGAGCGACGCTGTGCTCCCAGTGCCACACTCTCCCGAGTGCGCCACGGGCTCGGCCCATAATGTGGAATATTTTTTGATTGAAATGGTAAAATATTATTAGTTATTGACCTATTTAAAACTAAGATTTATAAACTTCCTCTGATTATGTCTTTGACCATTCTATTTTGCAGTGAGGCCTACGGTAATTGAAACTGATGTTTATGTAAATAGCATTGGACCAGTTGATCCCATAAATATGGTGAGTAATGAACATTAAAAATAGCTATTTGGCATAGAGATCTAGTGTATAATAGAATGAATATGTGATTAATTTCTTTCTTAATTAATTCATTTTTTAATTGATATATATTGATTTTACATATTTATGGGGTACAGAGTTATATTTCAGTACATGTATACAATGTATGATAAGCAAACAGGGTAATTAGCATATTCATCATTGCAAATGTTTATCACTTCTCTGTAATGAGAACGTTTGAGTTTCTCTGTTTTAGCCATTTGAGAACATACAATAAACTATTGTGAATTATAGTTGCCTATACTACTGTACCACACTAGAACTTATTTTTTTCCTTCTAGCTGTAATTTTTTATTCATTAACCAACCTCTCCCTATTCCCACTCCTGCGCCCTTTCCCAACCTCTAGTAACCAGAGTTCTTATGTGAGTAATTTCTAGTAGCTAATTCCAAGTGATTTCAGGTCAACATGGGCAATTACTATGTTCCAGGTCTCCTTGTGTCTAAGAACTTGTAGCCTGCTACTCCAGTGTGCTATGTTTGGTAGGACTATGATAGAGTGTAAAACTTATCACTTGATCCATCAAGAGTAGATTTGTGAAGACATCTGAAGGGAGAAAATCAGAAGAACTGAGGGTAAAAGTCAGTCAGAGAAGGCAAAGTTCTTACTGGCAGAGAAAGCAGCATGCACAAAGCCACAGAGGAATGAAACAGCATGACAAGATCAGGAAGAATTGTAGCAACTGATGCCACTGGTATATAAAGTGTAAGGCAAGAAAATGAGGTTAAAGGGATGTTTAAGGGCTTTATTAAGGATGGTCTCGTAAGCCATCATAATAGGACACATAATACATATTGTATTATGTATTGTATGAATTGTAGCCCTTTGGATATAAGCAATAATTGGAAGCTTTTCATCAGGAGAGTGTCACAGACATTTATATTATTTCAATACATCACTCTTATAATAGTATAAGAGATTGATGTAAGAGGCCCAGGTTAGGGTTAGGGAGACCAATTAAGAGATTGTTGAATTAGTTTTGGCAATAGATCGCGAAGGCTTTGTTTACCTAGTGCCCTAGCAATAGAGCTGGAGGAGACAATAATACATTTAAGAAATATTAGCTAGGTGATATTTTCAGAATTCGGTGACTCATCAGTTGCACACAGGCTGATTCCAAGGTATAAAGATAGAGAGACTTTGCAGGTAGTAGAGTCATTATTTGAGATAGAGAATAGAGGCATATGTGCCCAAATGCTAAGGGAGCATTCAGGAGAAAGTGTCCAACAGTGATTATTTGCCTTACATGCCCACTGCTCAGGGAAGATGTTAGGAATGGATATGGACGTATATCAGGAAGGGAAAGGGGACAAGCAGCATATGGTGTAGCATAAAAACTCAGGAATATGTAATATGATATGTTAAAAGAAAAATTTTAAACAAATTGAATTTAACAGAGTTTAATTGAGGCAGCCACAAGAATCAGAATATATTCAGAGGTACTCCAGGGCTGCCACGTGGTTGGCTAAGATTTATAGGCAGAAAAGGGAAAGCAGAATATAGAGAATAGGGAAGTGAGGTACAGAAACATCTGGGTTGATTATAGTTGAGCTTTGCCTTATTCAAAAATGGTTTGAACAGTTGGCTGCCTGTAATTGGCTGAGACTTGGCTACTTGTTACAAGAGTAGGTTACAGTTTGTTTGCACATCAGCTTAGGTTACAGTTCACTATGTCTAAAGGAAGCTTTAGGCCAAATTTAATTTAAGAATTCCCCTCTTTTCATCAACCTCTCAGTTTTGAGAGGCTGACCAAAACTTTAGGCACCAACATCATTCTCTGTTATTGTAAATGGACTTATTTGGTCTCAAATTCCACTGGGAAATAACAGAACAGGGTGTTTTATAAGGTAGGATTAAGGAAACAGAACAAGAGAGACAAAAGCTGATTAGCATCAAGTCACTTTTTCATAAAGGTTAGATCTGGGGGAACTTTCTTATGATGGAATCTCCTGTTTTCAGGAGGAAAAAAAAATTGGTTTGTTTTGGGATCTATCTGCTTCTTAAAGTTTCACTTTGATTATGTGGCATTTAACATTAGTGACTACATTTTCTGATTTGTTGGGGACTGGTGCAGGAGTCCAGTCCATAACAGTGGCCTCCCATGATTTTGTTCAGCAGATCCAAGGGAATATTCAGATTAAGAACACAAGTCTGAGGACCAGATAGTGTAGTGACATCAATGTATATAAAGTATAGGTGGAAGAAAGATAAGCACAGAAAAGGGGCATACTCAGGAAAGCTAGAGAGGTAAGAGAAGAACCAGAAGATGGTGATATTATATAACTTGAGGGATTAAAGAAAATAAAGAAGGTGGGAAAATTAATGAATTAAAAATGCACATGAGAATCCAGTAAGAAATGGTTTGAATTCGGCCCATTTGGTGTTTGCAATTAGCTGGAATGTTTATCTCTATTAGATGAAATTCAGTGGAGTGGTGAAAGTAGGAAAGAGATAAAAGGTGAATTGTCCATTTCTCTTTCATCTTCAAAATTGGTCCCTTATCTAAACTTATTTCTACAGAGCACTGAAGACATATATGGATCCTGCAGGGATAGTCGTGCAATCATGTACTGGCTTCAGGGTGCTGGGGAGTGAGTGGAATATAGATTTAATTTTATGAACCATTATTTTGAGAAACTTGGCTTATAAGAATATGAGGTAAGAGTATGGGAGTAGAGAAGGTAGAGAGAGGATAAGAGAAGTAAGGGACAGAGAGAGAATATGAGAAAATGTCAAGGGAAGGCCATTTAGGATGAAGAATGATAAAGTGTGGTATGCAGGCTTTCTGGGGACAGGTGGTGTGGTTGTGCCCAGTGTCTAACAAACTGAGAGAATCCCACCATTGGCAAAGCAGAGCTGCTGGTGGGAACTAGCAGAGGGTCAGTGTCCAGTGAAGGTCTGAGGGGCGTGAGGAAGAGCTACATGGGGGACAGAACGGAAGGGCAAGTCAGTTGGGGGCAGTTGCAATGCAGCCAGCAGGAGCCTGAATGGCAACAGGTGGCTCCTGCATTGGAAGGCCTTCCTTCTCCCATGGCAGACTCCTACAGGGACTAGAGGCTTAGTTCGACTAGCCAGGACCCAGTTGACAAGGAGAGATGTCCAGCCTATAATGCTGAACAAAAATGTAAGCTGGGGCCCTCCTCCTCCAAAAAGATCCCATTACGTTAGAATTTTATTTTATTTTTTTTTTATTTTTATTTTTTTTCCCTTTTTTTCGTGTCCGGCAACGGATCGCAACCCTCAGTGTCGTGCGCCGGCAACGGGATCACAACCCTCGGTGTTGCTCCCACACCTCGCTCAGCCAGTGAGTGGGAACCGGTCTGTATGTGGGATCCGAACCCTCGGCGGGAGCGCCACCACACTTCCCAAGTGGCGCACTGTAGCAGTGTGCCACTGGGCCGGCCCGAGGCTTTACTTTTAAACATAGAATAAATAGTGTTTTATTTCTATGTAAAGAATACAATTAACATAACCAATAGGTGTCATTAATGTACCATTTCAAACCCTAATAATCCCATTTTTGCTAGTCAAACTACTGGATTCTATTTAATGGGCTCAATAATGTGTTATGTTTATCTCCTTTCATTTTGCTATTGGTATTAGTCTGCTAGGTTTGACATAAAAAATTATCACAGACTGGGTGAATTAAACAACAGAAATTCATTTCTCACGATAGTGGAGGCTTAGAAGTCTAAGCTCCAGGGTTGGCTGCTTTGGTTTCTTCCTGTGCCTCTCACTGGCTGGCAAATGGCCATCTTGTCACTGTGTTTTCTTCACATGGTCCTTCCTCTATGATTGTGCACCCCTGGTGTCTCTTTGTTTATCCTAATTTTTTCTTCTTATCACAAGTCAGATTGCATTAGGGCCCACCCTAGAGGCCTCGTTTTAACCTAATTATCTCTTTAAAGACCTACTTCAAATATAGTCACATTCTGAGGTACTGAGATTTTCAACATATGAATTTTAGGAGTAACACAATTCAGCCCATAACACATTCAAAGGAAACTCTCTAACACTTTGCTGATTTTCTTTCTCGCTTCATTTACTCAACATTATAACAACCAAATTATCTCTTTCTTACTGACCCTAACCATTTTATATCTGAAGAACTATCATAATAAACCTAACAAATCCCTATGGTAGTACAGCCACACTCGGTTTTTCTCTTACGCAATATATGTTTGCATGACTGTCATTAACTTTCACAGCTGTCTGTACTGATTACTGTAGTGACAGCATTTTGGCCACATGTAACTGACATCTTTGTCACGTTAATGCAAACAGATATGAACTGGCTGTGGAAAAATTGAATTTGAGAAGATAGTGGGATGTCTGGGTAGACTGTTCTAGAAGTTAGTCTTAAATTAGGGGGCTAACACTCCATGGAAATTTGGGGCTAGAGCCAAATCTTTGTCAGGAATTAAAAACCTGTGTGAGAGGGGAAAAACAGCCTTTAAGTGAAGAGAAAAGAAAAAAGAAATGAATATCAGAGCTTATGGAAAATATGCATTTAAGGACCTGAGAGATGAAGCTGAGGTAGTAAATAAAACAGCAAGGTTTGTGAGAAAATGAAGAGAAACAGTGTCACAGAAACCAAGGGAAGAAAGTTCTAATGGGTTTTTTCTATTAGCTCTGCCTAAAGCAAATTTCCATACAACCAGTAGATTATTGTAAGGAGAAAACATTTTACATACCTGCGTGTGATAGTGTTAAATGTTTAACATTATGCATATATGAGATTTCATAAAGGAATACATTACTAAAATGTTAATCTTTTTCTTTAGGAGAATTTCCTAATGTTCACTTTGTAAGTAACAGTGAGCATATGAAAAAGTCTGTTTTCCCTTGAATTGCTTATTTTTTTTTTGTTTTGATGTCCTACAATTCTATTAGTTATCAATTACTTTGTATATCAAGGATCTTTTCCTTCCTTCCTTCCT